ATTAGCGTAGAGTCCGCGCGACAAATGCTGTCGCATATAACCAGTCTCTCAGAGGGCGAGAGACGTGGTATCCTCAAGAAGTGTGAGCAGAAAGTGATTTCAGTGAAACAGTCAGCGGCGGCCGCAAAGCAATCGCCGCCTAAAAAGTGTGCCAAACGAACGGTCGATACGAGACAGACATCAGTGGAAAGTAAGACAGTAGAGGACTCGGAGGACGAAGAGACTGAAGTGGAAGTGGAGACCGAAGTTGAGCCCCAAAAGACCACTGAAGTGACGGTCGAAGAGTCGGTAAAAAAGGCCCGTAAAGTGAAGCGAAGGCGAAAAAGATAATCAATTTATCGTTTCATTTCATTAGAATATTATGCATAACTAATTCATATACAGTACTTCTTTATATATATTCTGTATAAGTCTTTATATAACTTTTATAATAATTAATAGTTTTCCACAATTATCTTGATTAAAATTTATTACTCTTTTTAATCAAATTCTTGAAATCGTCGTTATTTTGTTTGCATCCATTAATTTATCNTATTATGCATAACTAATTCATATACAGTACTTCTTTATATATATTCTGTATAAGTCTTTATATAACTTTTATAATAATTAATAGTTTTCCACAATTATCTTGATTAAAATTTATTACTCTTTTTAATTAAATTCTTGAAATCATCGTTATTTTGTTTGCATCCATTAATTTATCATTTAGTTCTCCTTTTACTGATTATTGTAAAAAACTATGTAAATAAACATATAATTTGCTTGAATTATTGCATGCAATTAATTGTATAAAAGTTATGAATAATTAGAGAAATTATAAGAATTCAATTGTACTATAATGTGTTAATTAAACGTATAAATGTATTTGGTTTAAGATATGTATAAATTTTATCACTTTTTGACTTGATTTTCACTACAACTACAAGTGGGGAACTGACAGCACGGCTGAAGCCATGGCCTCCATATAGTGTTCTCGAAGTCAAACTGCGAGGGAACAGACGCTACGGATTGTTTGTGATCTTTTACCGCTTTACTAATCTTATCCACAATTCGTTTATATTTAATATCAGAGTTAATATCAATGGAGAGGTTTTCTCCGGGATCTGAAGCTATATTGTAAAGAAGCGGAGGGTTGTAGTGAACGACATGCGCCCCGAAGCACATACACATGAATTGGCACTTGTATTGGCCCGGTTTGTACTTTGGTTTAGAAAAGTAGAGTTTCCAGATGTTGTCCGCAGACTCAACGTATCGGACGCCGTGTAAATATGTGCCGCAGTAGTGGAATAGGAACTGATGGGCACTCGGAGTAGATTTAGGCTTTAATAGTAATGATAACATACTCTTGCCATCAATAATACGATCGTTTGGTTCGGGAATTCTTAATATTTCGTGAACTGTCGAGAAGACGTCCATTTGACTCGTGGGCACAGATATGACTGATTGGGGCGGGATTTTGTTGGGCCACATGACGGCTGTGGGCACTCGTATACCTCCTTCCATAGCCCCGTGACCTTTGCCTCCTGTGTATCGAACGAATCGATTTTTAAAAAGTTTTTGTCATATTCGTCATACGGTATGACTCATACCCTTATAAATGCCATTAGAACCGCCCTCTGCCACACCATCGGCGCCCACTTCTTCGAGGTGTCCGCCGTTATCACTACTGAAGTATACAAATGTATTGTCGCGGAGATTATATTCGCGCAAATAGTCAAGTATTTTGCCGATTCCGTCATCCATTTCGAGGACACAATCGCCATACTTTCCAAACCCACTCTTGCCTTTGAAATGTTTGTTAGGAAAGTGGG